AAAACCATTTCAATTAAGAAATTAAAGAAAAGTTTTAGACTCTGATGGTTCTGTGTGGCATTCAGATTGGACGGTTATGTGTCATACTAGTTTAGGGTGTTACATTTAATGATATCAGAGCGTCAGGTTTAGATGTTCCTAGGACTTGCAGGTCAGAGTCAGTAAGAGTTTATAAGTATACATGTCTCTAAGAATGTTAAGAGTACTTCTGCGTCTGGAATAGTGATAGCAACTTCTCGTTATTGTTTAAATTTCAGAATTTTAACTATGGGTGAGAGCCCATACCACAGTCATGAGGGTAGGCATGAGAGTAGGGCTTCCCTTGCAGGTGATATAGGAGATGATTTCATCTGTGAGACAGATTTTGAGGAACATAAGGATGTGGGGGCCGATGAGGCAACCTTCTTTAAAGATTTGACTGCGACCTTGAGGCACATTACTAGAGCTATTCCCAGGACACCTGCTACCCCATCTACCCAGCCAGTTCCGCCAGCCGCACCCGTTGTAGCCCCGCAGGAGTCTCCAGTTGAGAAGCTTCGAAGGTATCGAACCACAGATTTCTTTGGCACATATTTCTTTAACATATTTTAGTGACAAATTATGTACTTTACCTAATCTTTTATACGATAAAGTACACCAAAACTCATTCAACTATATTCAAATGATTGTTTTGATATATTAAATAATTTGATATATTTAATAATTAAAACAATCATTTAAACATAATTCAACAATCTTTAGTGTGCTTTATCCTTTTTATAATATCTATATTTTAATAATTTAATAGTTAAATATATTGATATAATTAATTTTATCATATATATAAAATTTAAATTAATTTAATTTCACCCAAACATCAAATTATTTTTAGAATTCTAAAACATAAAATTAGAATATTCTTTTTATGAGTATAAATTTAATTATTGAAAATTATGTAAATAAGAGATACAAAGATTCTTTGTATAAAGAGAAGGTTTATTTCACAAAAGCTTTTACTCTTTGTAATAAAGATTCTTTATAAGATTATTTTATCTGATCATTTCTGACAGTTATGTCTCATCCTATTAAACATGGAACCAAATGAGTGAATAGTTCTCTCTAGAGGCGTATTATTAAACATGGAACCAAATGAGTGAATTGTTCACCTTTGTAGTATATAGTTTTTGTAAAATCATCTTATCTAACCATTTTTTACAGTTGTATTGCATCCTATCAAACGTGAAGCCAAATGGACATGCTGTAAAAATATAAACAATAATGATTTTTTTTAACTTTAAAATTATGTGTTTATGGTCTGTTCAGTTTAATATATACATTTTCAAACTCTCTAGTTCTATTATCTCAAACTTTCTAGTTCTCATCTTACAAATTTAAAAGCGCACATGATGGATTATTTTTCTGTTATTGTTTATTATGATGACCATGTTCGTGAAACTGAAATCGAAGTAGTTTTTAAATCAAAGTAATTTGTTATTATATCCTTCAAGAGCATTGTCACTTTTAAGGACTTGGTCATGAAGATTTTCTCAAAAGTTTGTGTTAGACATAGTAGAAGAGTCTTTTTGCTGCAATATGGATTATTTATTTATTTATTTTTGCACTAGCTTCATCAACCTTTACAAAATTCTATTTTTTTTTTTTTGCACTAGCTTCATCAACCTTTACAAAATTCTATCTTTCCAATGATAATTTAGGCTCACAATGCAAAATTATTTCGGTCATGTAGAAATCTATGCATAGTTTGCTCAAATTATAAGGATTCATTTAAGGCCGTAAACCTCTAATTATAAGTTAACTAATTAAGTTGGCATCCCAAGTTAAAGTTTTTGTAATGATTTCCCATTATTAATAAAAAATTTGAATAGAGAGACACCCTCTACTTCAATGACTATTCATTGAATCATAATCACTTCCATTTAATATAGGCTATGATGTTAATGACATTAATGATGAAGCTCCACAATAATGGCATAAAATAAAATGGGAGAAAGTAGAATTAGTGTGAATCAAGTACATTACGAACCTCAACACGTGTACAGAATGGACATTGAAGTAATGCATAAACTAAAATTTTCTAATATGTCTAGTTTAAGTTATAACATTAAGTCTTCTATGAGTGATGGAAAGTCATATATTAGACTGAAGTTACAAAAAAAGCTCACAATGGCTCCTGTAGAAAATCACAACATACACAAATTTATTCATTATAGAGTAAAATGAGCCAATAACGAGAAATATGTATGTAACTGTGCATAATATAATGACATATAAATCTGGATGATTCGTGTATTAAAAAATATGAAAAATAACAAAATATAATGAATCTTTTACATATTGTGCCAGGGGATTAGTCAGGATTATCATGCCCTTCCTCAAAAAAATTCAAAGTATTGATGTAAGTGTTTATTGCTATTATACAATCACAATATGAGTACAATGTCTCCTAAAAAATATAATAGATAGTGAAAGACAATATCATTAGAAAATTGTATAAAGAGTGAGATGTTTCTTACAAGAAGCTTCCAAGTTGGCTTAATGTAATACAAAAATTCAACATTGAAACCAGTGATAGAGCCACATATATTTGAGGTTGGACATGTTCTCACTCTAAAGTTTAAATTTTCATCCGTTAGTTTGTAACCCCTTTTTACCCTACCTAGAAGGAATATGTAGGATCTAGAGGGCCTATTAACTTATTTCCCCAAAATTAACCCAAATGTGATTTAAGAAAACATTGAATTTATCCCTCTTGTCATTGATTTCAAAAGCTTTAAGAAACTGAATTAATTCATTTAATAATTTAATTCGAAAACAAACGGTTATCAAACCAAAATTCAAAGTCCAATGTCCAAAATAAATATAAATAAATAAACAATACCCAAATAAAAGTTCTATCAAAACCCAAAATAGTAAATATGAGTAAAAACATTTATACTATGAATGATAATAAAATATGAAAAATGTTATAAATGTCCAAGTATCGATTCACCTAAACTCGAGAATCTGAAAAAAAGAAACTAGAAGTGTGTAAGCTAATAATTTTAGTGGGCCTTTAATGTGCAAAAGTCACAATTCACATCATAATCCAAATGAACCAGTAATAATCATAATCTGAATCAAACAGTAATAATCATAATCTGGATATTATGCAAATGACCATGCACCCATACGCCTTACACAATGTTCGAATAGTATGTTCGAATAGTATGCACCCCGTCTAGTGGATGTACTAAACTTCCCCTATTAATCTCAACCCAATATACATAAATTCAAGGTCCGAATGCATAACATAAAATTTCGAATACAATAAATCAACATACTTCACATAACACAAATTTATGTCCGACAAAACAATATACAACATAAATCATTTTTCAAGATATGACATACTATAATATTTAACATAACAATAATCAAAGCATAAACTAGACAATCAAGGGTCACAAAACAATCAACAAGACATACCAAACAACAAGATAATTCACAAATAAAATGTAGCACCCGATACACACACTCCTCGAAAAAAATAAAATGTCTCCCACGGTTCGCTCGAACAGTGAATTGGCCTGAATCAGTGCCTACGAAAATTATTAAATAAATAAATTAATATTCTATAATAACGAAAACACCAAGCGAACTAAAAATATAAACTATCACTCACAGTCAACACGAATAATACGGGTCGACTCGAAATTTGCAGGTAACGATGGAAGGGGTGAAAAATCAATTCCCGATTCAATATTTCTTGTAAAATCATAATGTTCGAATTTAAAATCTCAATATCAACAAAACAATAAACAACGATAATTAAACGATTTTCAGCTTGCATCAAAAGTTAGTAGTGGAATTTTGTTCTGGTATAGAGTTATCATATCGAGTTAAAAGGGATGCCGACAATGGGGCATATCGACAACATCCCCTAAGGCCGGTGACTGAGCACGACCAGCTTTTCTAAGGCCTTAATGATCGAAAACCAAATGACATTACAAAAATTAGAATCGAGATGGGGTTTTCACGGCCAACGTGTGCCTTCTAGGTGAGGCACCTGCTAGTTAAGCCTTCTCCGATGAGAGCCTGGTCTCTTAGTTCCCTTGAACGAACCCAACACAGCTGCGGAAATAGTGTTTTGTGAGTCAAAGCTAGCGAGTGATTCATAATCGCACCGTCCAACGACGATGGCGAGGGTAAGGGTGCGACAAAGGAAGTTCAAGCGATGATCAGCGACAACCTTAGATGGTAATGCTACCAGAGGAGGAATGTGACAATGGTACGGGAAGAAACTAAAATTAAGGAAAAAGTGAAACCCTAACGATGTTTGTGAGATAAGAGAGAAATGGGTTAAAGTTATCTCATAACTAGGATTGGTCTAATTTCAAGGTTGGTCCTTTAACTTTCTAGGATTAATAAAATTGGCTTCAAGCTTTTCAATTTTGCAAAATATGTCACAAATTCTGATTTAGGGATTTAGGGGAAATTCCCAAATCTTAGGGTTTCAAATTAGGATTATTTGGGGTGTTACAATTATCCCCTTTTAAAAAAATATATCAAAATGATTCTCGAAGCTCGAATTATAGGTATTCTCACAAGTGTAGGCATTGTCATTCCAATTGTAGCTCCTCGTGAAACACATGGATTCAGGATTTTGAGGGCATTCCTCAAAATTATGATTATCACCACAATAGACACAAGTAACAATGGATGTTGATTTCACTTCATTTATACCTTCAGGTTGTTGTGGCTTCATCACCATCTCAGTCAATGCTACTATTTGTGAAGCCATTGAATTTAGCACATCATTATCCATTACTGCAGCAACGTGTCTGCCCGAAATCTTCCTTGTGTTAGGATATTGGTATTCATTGTTGGAGATCCTCTCAAGGGTGTCGTGGGCTTCATTGTAAGACTTGTACATCAAAGATCCATAGGCAGAGGCATCTACAACCATCATTATTTTCATGTTAATACCATTGTATAATATCTCTAATTGTGTCCAATACCGAAAACCATGCATTGGGCATTTATACAGAAAATCTTTAAATCGCTCCCAAGCTTTATACAAATTTTCATCTTCTAATTGCTTGAAAGATACAATGTCATTTCGGAACTTGGCATTCATATTAAGCTGATTGAATTGCAGCACAAATGTTTGAGCTAACTCGTTCAAGATGCTATAGCACCAGGTGGCATTGAGGACAACCAAACTCTAGCTTTGTCTCACAGCGAATAAGAGCAAAGCTTCAGTTTTAATGCTTCCCTAGAAACTCCTTGCGGAGCAAATAAAACACAAACCTCCATAAATGCTCAAAGATGCACTCGAGGATCTTTATCAAATGACTCACCATATTGTTTCATTGACTGCAACATTTGAAACATCATTGTTTTTAACTCAAAATTTCTAGCATGAATCGTTGATCGCACAATGACATAGCAATACTGTTTCATTGAAATATTTTGTAAAGGTGGAACATCATTTTGAGCCATTTATGATTGTTATTGATGTTTTTGCCTTATTTAGTGGATAGTTCAAAAGGTTCTAAGTCCTAAATGTTGTTGCGGGTGATGCTCCAGCAATGCTTTGTTAAAACAGTTATACCTACAAAAAGAAAATTACAAAGTTAGTAAAAAGAAAAAAGAAAAACAACTTTAATATAATATCATTGCTCCTTGGAAACGATGACAAAAACTTGACGCTGCGTAAGATGTTGTAGCAATTACGTAAGTATACGCATCGTTCAAGTAATAAAGTGCTAACAATGAAATTACGAGTTTCGAACCCACAGAGAGCGAGGAATTACAACTTAGAGTTGTTAACCTTGAATATTAAAAGGTAAATGCTATAAATGGGTAGAAAAAGAGATATAGCAAATATATTAAAACATGATAGAAATGGCAGGCAGTGCTACATCATAGTGAAAGCATAAGATCAAGAATCGAATGGATCGAAAAAAATAATTGGAAGTTTCAATTATGAACATGCCTTTAACTAAATGACTATGCATCTAGCAATGATTAACATTACTTAAAGGATATAAGGCAACTCTCATTGACTTAATCAATTAACTATTAACAATGCTAGATATTAGGTAGCATATACCTCACATACTAATATGCTTCTCAACAAAACCAAAATTAGACACTCGAACTTAGTTAAAAGATCCATTAAGCTCATCTATCACATCATAACTCATCATGTATTACCACATCAACATTGTAAACTGATAAAGAAGCAGCAACGGATGAATGAATGTTGCTTTTGTTGAGGAACCAAACCTAGAAAACACTATACTCAATGAAGAAAAACGAGAGGATTAGATGGAACAAGGGGAGACAACTAGGTTATTTTTAGGGTTTTATATGTTGGAATTAAGATAAGGAAAACAAGATTAGGACAAAGGAAAACAAGGGTTATGGGAAAACAAGGGTAATAAGAAGAACTAAGGAAAAAACATGTAATAAAGAACTTATACTTATCTCAAAGGGGGTGACTAAGAGGTGTTTGATGTTGGATTTTGATGAATGGATGCTTGTTGGAAAGAGAAAGATTCAAGGATTGTAATGGTGAAAACGAAATTGAGATCGGATGGTCGAATTGATTGAAAAAATAATTTGAAAATATTTACCCTTTGTACCTTATGAAGTTAACACAAACCCTTGAATGGGTTTGATAATGGTGTGATGGTGGTTTTGAGGAAAAAGATGATGTTGTGGAAGATGTATATGAAGGATAATTGTCCTATCAAACCCTCATATTCACAATGAAAAGGTAAACTCGATAATACGGCTCTAACCAGTCCCCTTAATCGTAATGAATGGACAAATCGGAGTGTGGAGATCTCTCTCAATAACCCAAAAGAACTAAAAGAAAAAGAAGCTTTGAAGGCACAAAGCTATCAACTCTTGTAAAAATGCTCTCTTGTTGAATTGAATAAAAAGAAGAAAACTTGATAATTAGGTGAGAGGAGCCTCCTTTATATAGGGTTTGAGAAGTTCTAGTTGTAACGTGATGGAGACATAAAATAATAGTGAAATCTATCCTAAATCCATGTGAAGGTGGATGACATAAATAAGGACAATTGATGAAGCTTTGATCCGATGGTGTTGATGAAAATATGCATGATGAGATCCTTGTGACTTGATGGACAGTCCAGATGAGTCTTCTAGAAAGGGCATGAGCGACATAGCTTGAAAAGTGGATGTGATAGGCATCATGCTCATGATAAGCAAGAGTATGAATTTGATAGGTTATCAAGGCTCGTAATATGTGGTTGGGCATGATAAGTAAGGTGGAGGGTGATAAACTATAAAAGGTTTACATTCAATGACACATTTACTCTTATCCTAATAAATTAAAATAAATAAAATAAACTCTTAAAATAATGAGTTATCCCAGGCTTTATAGATTTAGCACTGGGTAACTTTACAAGTTTTATGCCTTAAAGGGGTTCAAACTCATTTCTGGGCATATCTTCGTGGGTCTTGTAATTGGGCCCAGAAGTAACTTGGGTTGTGGTGATCCAAGGTGATGTGGGAGGAAGGATGAGCGAGTTTCCTTCCTTGAACTCTTCAATCTCCATGTGGGCGTGTAGGCCCTTACTGATAAAGTCCTGGACTGCAGTATGAAGTTTGTCTTTGAGTAGCTTGGCTCGTCCTCTTATAATTGGGCATAGTGGTAGGGTAATCTCATCTTCCTTAGCTTTTGGGCGTGTGGTGCATGTATCATAGACTAATATGTAAGTATTGCGATAATAAACGTTTCATTTTGTTAGTCAAAGGATATAAATTGATTTTTTTTCTTAATTTAATGATCACATTGAGTGCAAAAAAGTCCAAGAGCTACACTCGTGTTTTTTTTACTAAACATATTTTTTTTATTTTAATGACGCTTTTATATGATCTTGTTTGCAACATTTTTTTTATTTTTAAAACTTAATTAATATCCAATATGTATCAACATTATATTCTTATTATAAATTAAAGTAATTTTTGTATTATGAGATTTCTCATTAACTTTATTATTTTATATTTATATAATTCACATGTTAAATTATTTAATGAAAATTTTTAATAGTTATATTTTTATTATTTAGTAACTTTTTTCTCGTCTCTATTTTAAAAAATAGATATTAAACACATTTTCACTCTTTTAATTTTTGAATTCAAGTTTTAATTTTAATTAATTAAACATATTTTATGATTTTAAAAAAATGAAAATAAAAACTATTTTCTAAAAATAAAAACATAAAATATTTTCTAAACTCAAACAAACCCTTAGTATTTAATATTTTTAAATTAATAATAATTTATTATATTAAGATCCACTATATTGAATCAAATAAAGTAATATTTACTTTTTATACACTCACATATTATATTGTTAATATTCTAGTTTGAATCCTTAACTTAAATTGATGAAAACTCTTACTCTCCGCTAGAGTAAACATGTTTCATATTTAAATTTATTTTATTTAGATTGATCATTCAACTAATATAAAAAGTCATATTGATTCGATAAATTATTATTATTTTAATAAAGACGATAAAATGAATATGAGTCGAATTTAAATCTGATTTGATCAAAAAGTTAAAAAAAATCAAATCTAATTAAAAAGGATCGTATTGAAAAGATTTTAAACCTAAAATAGTTTAAATCTGAAAAAACTCAAACCCGAAATCCACGTTAAGCCTACTCCAATTTAGTACCTAACTTTTGAGTTCGTCATTTTTATTGTGTTTAATTCACATTATTTTAGTTTTTTATTCTTGAAACAGAAGTTTAGATTGGATAGTTTAATTCCAAATTTAGCTGATTTAAATATAAGAAATATTTATATATATTATCAACTAATATTTAAAGATATTAAAAAGAAGCTAAAAACGTGTGCAAATAGGATTTTAATGAAAAAGATAAAAAAAAATAATAATAATTTAAGGAGTATAAACCCATAACTAATTATATACTTCTTAGTTTAATTATTAAATTCGTAACTAATTATTTTAAATAAATAAATCTTCCAGTCAAATAAAATATTATAATTCAGCCAAATCAACTTCAAACTAATAAAATAATTCCTTTGTTCAGAAAAGGAAAAAAAATAAAGTCTCAGAAAATAAAGAAAATAACACAATTAGTTGATGTTGTTTGATGGCTGTCTTTTGGTCAAAGAAATTTGCAAAATTAAAAAAATAAAAAATGGTCCCGAGCTTTGATTGGAAAAGAAAAAAATGGGTCAACTATATGTTTAGTACATAAAGAATTACTTTGTTCCGCTTTAGTACCCAAACTTCATTTTTTTAAAATCATACATAATGTTTAGTTTACGATTTATTTTGATATCCCTCTATTAAAAACTTAACAGTAATGTTGATGTGTCACCGTAAGGTAGTGCCATATCATCATTAAAAAGTAACACATCGGTAGTTGTGTTAATTTTTTATCAAATTAAAACTTAAACTAAATGATAAGTGTAATTTTAAAAAAGAAAGATAAAGTTTCAGTATCAAAATGGAATAAAAGTAATAATTTAGGTATTAAACATGCAGTTTAACCAAGAAAAATTGACATCACGATACACATTTCTGCGTTTAAGTCAACGGTAGTTTTTTTGTAAATTAAAAAGTTATAAAATGATCATCTAACTGTTTATATGTTCCAAACTTATTGTTTTCTATTAAAAATTAATGGTAGTCCGAGTTGGACGTTAATCTATTGACAGTGATGTTATAAAATTTGATTTAAGAATCGTTTGAGCTATATTTTATGGATCGAGTCTTCATTTACATTGTGTGGTCAAACCAGTCAGTAGGTACATAATGTAAACGGATCGAGCCATAAAAAATAATTCAAAGGGTTCTAAGATAAGATTTTATCATATTACAATCATCAAATTAACATCCAACTCAAACGATCATCATTTTTTTAACGGAAAAAGATGAGTTTATAACATATGAATTGTCAGGTAAATATTTTGTAACTTTTAATAATTAGAAGACTCAACAAAATATCATCCTATAATTGAGTAACCATTTGTGTACTTTACCCTTAAAAGTATAAAATAGAAAAAAGTATAAACGACAGGGTTGGATGTTGGAAGAGACTGAATTATCAATTCGAACGTTCTGTTAACGTTTTTATTACAATCAAATCAATGAGTTTGGTAATTTCTCACAAGACATATATCTTTCTCCTTAGACTATTCCACCCTTTTGTACGCGCAAATTTACTTTATTCAAAGTCATTGTCTCACCCCAACAACAAAGAAAAATCAATATGTATTTCATCACCACAAGTTTTCCTCATCTAAATCATAAACAAAGCTCTGGGTTTTCTCCTTTCTTTTGTTGGTGATAAACAATGAAGGGATGTTTTTGCAGCTTCCTGGTTTTGGCTTGGATGCTTCTCCCATGGATTGTTTTATCAGCTGTAACTGAGAACGATACGAGGTGCCTTGAAGGAGTCCAGAGTTCATTACTCGGCCCAGATGATAAAATAAGCAGTTGGAACTTCGACAACAATTCCGTTGGTTTTATATGCAATTTTGTTGGGGTTACATGTTGGAACCAAAGGGAAAACCGGCTGTTAAGCCTTGAACTTCGTGAAATGAGACTTTCCGGACACTTGCCTCAATCTTTGGAGTACTGTGGGAGTTTGCAGACTTTGGATCTGTCAGGCAACAATCTTTCTGGTAACATCCCTCCTCAGATATGTTCTTGGTTACCTTATTTAGTGACCCTCGATTTATCCAGCAATGATCTATCAGGTCCGATCCCTTCTGAATTATCAAATTGTGCTTACTTGAACAATTTGGTACTGTCCAATAACAGACTCTCAGGGCCTGTTCCATACCAATTATCTGGCCTAGCTAGGCTGAAGAGGTTTTCAGTAGCAAATAATCATCTTACCGGTGCTATTCCTTCAGGTTTTGAGGGTCATGATAGGGCAGATTTTGCTGGGAATAGTGGTCTTTGTGGAGGTCCTCTTGGGAGCTGTGGGGGTTTGAGTAGGAGGAATTTAGCTATTATAATTTCAGCTGGGGTTTTAGGTGCTGCGGTTTCGATGATGTTTGGGTTTGGGGTCTGGTGGTGGCACCATTTGAGATGGGTGAGTCTGAGGGAAAATGGTGTTTATGGAAGGGATGGTGACAGTGGTTGGGCTGAGAGGTTGAGGGCTCACAAGCTGAACCAAGTTTCGTTGTTTCAGCAGCCGCTTGTGAAAGTTAAGTTGGCTGATTTAATGGCCGCCACAAACAATTTCAGTGCTGAAAGCATCATAGTTTCCACTAGGACTGGAACTGCTTACAAAGCGGTGCTTCCTGATGGATCAGCCCTTGCGATCAAGAGGCTCACAAGTTGTAGCATCAGCGAGAAGCAGTTTCGTATCGAGATGAACCGTCTAGGCCAGCTTAAGCATCCGAATTTGGCACCCCTTTTGGGATTTTGCATTGCAGGGGATGAAAAGCTCTTAGTCTATAAGCATATGTCCAATGGGACTCTGTATTCCTTGCTGCACGGTAGCGTTGCAGCTTTAGATTGGCCAACTCGGTTTAGGATTGGTTTGGGCGCAGCCAAGGGTCTTGCTTGGCTACACCACGGTTGCAGGCCTCCTTTTCTGCAGCAGAACATCAGCTCCAAGGTGATTCATCTTGATGAGGATTTCGATGCCAGGATAATGGACTTCGGATTGGCAGAGCTTTTGAGTACCTCAGACATTAATGAGACTAGTTTCATGAAAGAGGGTGTATGTGAACTCGGTTATGTTGCTCCTGAGTATGCAGACACTATGGTAGCTTCACTTAAAGGGGACGTATTCGGCTTCGGAGTTGTGCTTCTTGAATTGGTAACTAGGCAAAAACCCCTGGAAGTTAATGCAGGTGGTGAAGAAGGATTCAAAGGGAACTTGGTGGATTGGATAAATCATCTTTCAAATTCCGGCAGAACCAAAGACGCTATCGATGTCACTCTTCGCGGAGAAGGAGACGACGAAGAAATATCGCAGTTCCTCAATATAGCATTAAACTGTGTCAACCCTCGGCCAAAGGAACGATGGTCCATGTACCAGGTTTTTGAGTCATTGAAAAGAATGGCTGAAGGAAATGGTTCCTCGGAAGAATTTGATGATTTCCCACTGATTTTTTTATGAATCAATGTAGCCTTATAGAGTAAAATTGGGAGAAATCTGCAGAACATGGTAACGCATACAAGCTTATACATATGTATTTGTAATAAATAGCTTATAGCTGTATAATGCAAATAAACTTGGTTAAGTTTTAGGGTGTTAAATCTTCTTTGATCCTTGTTTTGTAATGAAATTTGATTCTGGTTCTTGATCTTTGTGCTCATAAAAGTCGGTGTTTCCAGCAGTAACAGGCAAATGGGGATCGTGCCACTACGCACAAGGCAAATGGGGATCCTGTAATGGTTAAGAATTTGGGCCTATACTTTCATGTCTAGGATGCTTAGAAGGTATTCGGTATCTTTTTATAATTTTATTAGTTAATTGACAACGATCACACACCCTTTAAATATAATTATTCGAAATCTGATCTTAAAAAAAATAAGATTCACTTTTATCGTTAGTGTCACTTGATGGATTATTGACTTCTGACCAAGAAAACCTTGGCACTCCTAAAGTTTTGAAAAAATTGCATTTCACACAATAAAGATTTTAAATTCATTTTATTAGACAGTTTTAGAAAATTTTAAAAAATTTATGAAATTTTGAACAAAACAATTAATAGTTTAATCAAGTTACATCACAATTACTAAAAAAATTCATTAAATCTTATAAAATTTTGGGTAAAGTACATAAATGGTCTTTCGACTAAGATACTACTTTATTAAGCCCATCGACTATTAAAAGTTACAAAATTGTCATTTGACTTAGACTATTGCTTTGTTGAGTCCCTCGACTATTAAAAGTTACAAAATGGTCGCCCGATTATTCATTATGTTCCAAACTCGTCATTTTTCATAAAAAAGTTGACAATATTCTGAGTTGAACGTTAACCTGCTGGCCGTGATATGATAAAATATGGTCTTAGAATCTCAAATAACTATTATATCTCAGTCATCATGTTAACATTCAGCTTAGACAACCTACAATATCCCAAATATCAGACCAGGGACTACATTGAAAATATTGGAAAATTTAAGATTTAAATTGAATAAGTGGTAAAAGATGAGAAAAAGGATTTGAAATAGTATTTAGACTAGATTGTATCAATAGATAAGTTAAGAGGGCATTTTAGTTTTTTTAAAGGAAAGTGAAATTAAAAATAGATGAGGATTTTAGATAAGAAGAAATAGAAAAGTAAAGTAATTTTCTTACACTTCTTCTTCTTCTTCTTCCTCTTCACGTGGGTATTCTCTCATCCCTAGCATAAGGTAAATTCTCATTAGTTTGTGTTTTCTTTAAATTATGAGTTACTTTGGTAACATTGAGTAATATATATGCATAAGAAAGGATTAGATGAGATTAAAATGAAGAGATAGGGAAAATAATAGAGATTTTATAAAATTAGTTTTGAAAGGATATGTTAATCTAGGAGTGTTTATGGATGTTTTATGGTGGATTTGACTTGTCATAGAGGCAAATGAGATATTAAAAGTATTGGATAAGGTTTATAAACACATTAGAAAAGTAGTGTGATTCTTAGAACTTAATGTTCTTGGTAGATATTATATGTTTTATGAAATAAGATGAAGGAAAATTTGTATGGATAAGTAGAGAATAGTTGCATAGCATTTTTGGGTGTTGATATAAATAAATTTGGTCCCATTTGGCTAAAAATCGGGTTAAAAAATGGAAAATCTAGGCAAGGGTATCGGTACTGATAGAACAATATCGATACTATAGGCTAAAAAGGGGATAAATTTGTTGGATAGTACCAATACTGATTCAATCAATATCGATACCATTGAGGCAGTATCGATACCAAGCAAACATCGAATCTAATTTCGGTATCGATACCGTAAGGGAGTATCGATACCATTGTAGGGTAGTATCGATATCATGTTAAGGGTATCGATACCATGAAACATCGAACCTAATTTTTGTATCAATACCAGGAAGGGGTATCGATACCCTAGTGTAGAAGTATCAGTACTAGGGTAGTAGTATCGATACTTTGGAACCAGAAATGTTAAAAATAGACTGATAATGATATAGAAAGTTAATAACCATATTCTTTTGAATATGGTTTAATTACAATTGTTAGGAAATTTACTAACATTGAGTATGACACATGTTTTAATGGATGCTTGAATAGATCGGAACCAAACTCCTGAGAAAAGCAAAACTAAGGGAAATGGCAAAGTCCCGGAGTAATCAACCTTACTTTTTGGACACTTAGCGAGGAAAGTCATGTGAGTACATTTATTGTATGCAATCTAGATGAAAATGATTAGAAATGATTCAATATGAATATTTAAATGTTAATGTATGTTTTACCTTAATTACTATGCTTTATTGAATACATGGAAATGATATTGTGAATGAATTTAGAGTATGAATTGCTCTAAAATGAATGAAAATAATAATGCATATGGGTGCATTATCATCATGAAAGGATGCCATAGTTGAAATGTATATAGGTACATTATCAACAGAAAAGTATGCCATAGTTGAAAAGTATATGGGTACATTATCAACAGAAAAATATAATATAGTTGAAATGTATATGGGTACATTATCAACAGAAAAGTATACTATAGTTGAAATGCATATGGGTGCATTATCAACAGAAAAGTATACTATAGTTGAAATGCATATGGGTGCATTATCAACATAAAAGTATACTATAGTTGAAATGCATATGGGTGCATTATCAACAGAAAAGTATACTATAGTTGAAATGCATATGGGTGCATTATCAACATAAAGTATACTATAGTTGAAATGCATATGGGTGCATTATCAACAGAAAAGTATGCTATAATTGAAACTGCATATTGGTGCATTATAAACATGAATGGAGGTTATAAATGATAAGAAAGAATCATGACAAATGTGTTGGGATTTTCGGAAGCTCGAATCGACAGCAGGAATTGCTTGTAAAAAGGGTCGGGATCAGATTTTGTGTTTAGGGAGTAAGGAGATTAAAAGATAGAGAATTGCACAACGATTTAGAGTGGTTCGACTTCTCAACCAAGTCTACATCCACTACCTTAGCTCCTCACCAAGGATTTTCCAACAAATTCACTAATTTGTTCTTTCTTTTGAGGACAAAGAGATAACCTTACAACTCCCTAGTTTTTCCGGGCTAAACTAGAACCTTTCCCTAGCTTTTATACGAGATAAGCTAGAACATTTCCCCTTTATAAAAGGATAAAATAAGTAAACAAGAAAACCTCTCTAAGGTAGGTGTTTACAAGATTGAGCTCACAAGAACAAAATATTTACAAGAGAAAGATAAAATAAGAATAAAAAAACTCTTCTCTTGTGTTTGATTGCTTGGATAGTTATTCTCTCTATTCTTCAAGTGTCCTTAGCTTGTATTTATAGCTTGGAATGTGTTTGATGTTGTATATAGCCGTATGGGATGTTTTGGAGTCGTTTGGGGATGATTTTTCTACTCAAAAAGGTTGCCCATAACATGGTTCATCAGTGCACTATCATGGTGCATCGATACCCCTTCATTAAATTCAAATAAACTAGTCATTACTAGCCGTTGCAGCCTTCGTGCATGGATGCACAGCAGGATGAATCGATGCATAGCCTTGATGCATCGATGCAATAATTACATTCGGTGTTTGAGTGCATGGATACACTGCATGGTGCATCGATGCACTAGTGCAGGTGCATGGATGCACTAGTGCAAGTGCATGGATGCACTGCAGGGGTGCATGGATGTACTTTGACACCCTTTAGCATTTTGGCTCAAATCAGAATTTAATGGACTTTGAATTATTTTTCAAACCTTTTAAAACTTTGAATAAATTCAATTAAGTCCAAAAATATTTTGTAAATTCAATTCAAGTCCAAAAACCATTTTGCCTTAAATTGTTATATCAAAACATAGTTCAACAATGTCCCCCCTTTTTAATATAACAAAACATTTGAAAAATTGTTTTTGGCAAAACTCCCCCTTAATAAATTGTTTAATGAAAAATATATCAATTGTTAACAATTGTTGGAAAATATATGAAAATGTTAAGTTCCCCATTTTTTATTTAGAAATTGATTTTTTCAAACCAAACTTCTCCCCCTTTTTGTTATATCAAAAATAATTCGATCTTTGAAGTTCAAAATAACTTTGGAGAGTAAGTGGTAAATTTGACATTTAAAAATCATTTGAAAAATCAAAGTTCCCCCTCAATAAATGCATTCCAATCAAAATTTAGCTTTAGAACTTGACACTTAAAAAGAAATTGAATTTCTACAAAGAATAACAAATGTGTTAGTAGCACAAGAAATTCAATATATCCAAGACTAAAATACTTTATGCAATACCAATTGTTGAAATTTGATATCAATACCATTTGTTAAAATTAAGTGCATATGCATAAAGTTTTCCAAAAATGTTATGCATTTTGAAAATTTTGATATCAATTGTTAGAGAGATATCATTTTCATTTAAACCATATGCATAAACATTCAAATTTAGGTAAAAAATTTAAAATTTGTAAAATCAAAGTATTTGAAAATTTGATATCAATTGTTAGAGAGATATCATTTGCATTAAAACCAATTTTGACCAAAATTTTATTATGATGAACTAAAAATTCTTAAAAATTAATATAACTTTAAAATGTTCATCATAATCATCTTTTCAACATACATGAGATTAAAACGATGATGCATAATCATTTAAAACCAAAACTCATGCATGCTTAAAATCAAATGAGCAACCAAATAACCAAAATTAAAAACATTAAGCTTAGAGGTTACCCATTCCTTTTTCATGTGTGGCTAGAGCATCTTGAATATCATCACTTTCACCACCATTGCTCCCACACACCTACAAGAGATATTTATTTTGATTTTGGTATCCAAATTGCTTTGGATCCTTGGACGTTAGGTTCAATGCCCCTTGCTCCTTTTGGAATCCATACTTGCCTAATTTTAAAACGTTTTTCTTTCTTCAAAGGACAAGTATGTTCCTTGTGAGCATGATAATGACAATATGAGCATATTGTCATTATTGAACTAAATGAATTATTTAAAATGATTTCTTTTTTTTTGTTAAGCATTCAAGCTTAACTTTTAAATCAAAATTTTCTTTTTCAAAATTTTCAATTTTTATTTTTTAAATCTCTAAATCCTTTTTCA